GAGGTTGGAATGCATGTACAATATACTTGAAGTATAGTTGTGGATGTTTTGATTTTGAGAACTATGCCATAAATATGAGCTGTCCAATATAGCAGCCACTATCTACATGCTATTTAAACTTGATACAAATGACATAAAGTAAAAAACCCATTCTCCCTGTGTGTCACACTATTGACATAGCGCAACACTATGACCATATTCTAAGTGCTCAACAGCCAGATGTAGCTAGTGGTTAGTCTACTGGATGGATGGTATAGACACAGACCAGGGCTATCCGACCTGAAGCCTATGGGCTGCATGCAGATCTTCTGAGGAACTTTTTTGCTTATCTGTGTTGTCAAATATCAAAATAAGTATGCACAGACTTCTTTTTTTGCTAATCAGGTTTCATTGGCGTTTGTGTAGTGAACGTGTGGCCCAAGCCAACTCTTATTTTCTCAATGCATGACAGAGGAAAAATAAATACAGGACACCTTGATGGAGACCAAAGGGCCCAGGCAAATCCAGAACAAAAGGCTGTGCTTTTAATTCATCCCTTTGCTGCTCCATTTACTTAACCGATCAAGGCTAATGAGAAAATGTCAAATTATTCACAAAGTGACAACAAGCCCTACGCTGCAAATGCCTTTTTTTTTTTTTTTTTTGAGACAGAGCCTCAAGCTGTCACCCTGGGTAGAGTACTGTGGCATCACAGCTCACAGCAACTTCCAACTCCTGGGCTCAAGCTAGTCTCCTGCCTCAGCCTCCCAAGTAGCTGGGACCACAGGCACCCACCACAATGCCTGGCTATTTTTTGGTTGCAGCCGTCATTGTTGTTTTGACAGGCCCGGGCTGGATTCGAACCGGCCACCTTAGGTGTATTTGGCTGGCGCCTTAGCCACCTGAACCACAGGTGCTGAGCCAGCAAATGCTTGTTTTGAAGGAAAAACAATCAGGACAAGCACTAAACTTTACCTAACTGAAATAGACAAGCAGTCTTTTTCAAATTCTGAGATGAACAATAACTCAAGATTGGAACATATGTACATTCAAGAGAGAAAGGAGAACATTATTAAGTGGTAATAAGCTCCCTTGGTGGGGACCGTTGGCTTTCAATCTTAGGAGTCTCGATTTTAGGCTGAAAACCGTGGAGAAATCACTGCAGAATTACGAGTTAAGGAATGAACGAATGAAAAGTCAGCGACAATTACGAGGTGCACTGAACACACAGTTTCGGAGCAGGGAAACTTGTTAAAACGTCTTCAACAGTGTGGAAAGCATGACGGGACCAGTGCCTGAAAGGGCCTAGAAGAAGAGAAGCAAAGAGCTTTAAAAGGACGACTCGGATAAGATTTGAGGGGAAGAGAAAATCAACCAGACAGGATTTAAAGATTAGTGCCTGTATGTTTCAAAACTCCGACCTGAAGAGGTACAGAAAAGTGAGACGAATGCACTTTGGGGAAAAGCTAAAGAACTCACTTCCCGGAGTTAGTGGGAGATTCTGAGGTCTGACCCCCGCAGAACCCCGCGCAGCGGGCCCTTCTCCAACCCCAGGGCCCCCACAGACGCCTTGGTCTCCCCTCGCCTGCCCCCGGCCTCTTCTCACCGGTTCGGGCCTTCTCTTCGGTGCGGCAGAGAACGCTGCGAAGGCTTGAGGCAAGGCTTATGGCGGGATCTGAGCTCCCAGAATACCACGCGTTCCCAAAATGCCGCGCGCAGGGCCCACCCCCTTCCTTTCCTCAGTGGTGAGCGTGTCTCGCCTCTGCTTCTTCCCCTCTTAGCCGGCTGGAAAACGCGGGCTCTAGTACAACAGTTCCGGCACCGGAAGAGAAGGCTGACGACAGGGCCCGGGGGCTGCCGGAAACACCGACCCTCGGGCTAGCACTGGGCTGGAGAAAGGGCTCGCGTTTCAAGCACTCCCCCAGCAAGGATGGGCTGGACGGGAAGGCGGTAAGCTGGGGCCTGGGCCCTAGGATCTGGCGCGGCAGGAGTTGGGGCTGAGGGTCAGGACCTCCCCTCACAGTTTAACCTTTGTATGCCGGCACCGCTAGCAAGAGGCGCTCCGCGCGAGGTGAAGCATCTCGTACGGATAGAGAAACAGATATAGAGTAGAGCTGCGACCTGCCCAGGGTCGTCCTCAAAAGGAGTCGGCGTAAATGCTCTGGGTGGGACCAGGGCTTAACACCTGAAACTGGCTAGGGAGTGAGGCCCGGTAGAAGCCGGGCTTTTTGTGGGGAAGAACCTCTTGGGAGCGTAGGTTCGCGAATTTCCAGAGCCTCGGGGCGGAGCTCCAAGAATGGGCGGGGCTTCGGGGAACCAGTCAGGGAGGGCCGGCGCGGCGGCGCAAGGACTGGGTGAGGGGCGGGGCCCTCAGAAGCCGAGGTTGCGATTGGCGGAAGAGGACTTACATCAGGAGGCTGAGAACTGCTAGGAATCGAAATCAAGGGAAAGAGTGGGGCGGAGCTTAGGGAAGGGGCGGGGCCTCCAGATTCGAGACCTGGAAAGGCAGGGGCGGGGCTTGGGGCGGCCCAGCCGACGCTTCGCGTTCTCCCTACTGCTGTGGCGGTGGCGGCGTAAGAGGAGGGGGAGGAACTCTCTACACGGTCTGGCCGTTCTCCGGCCCCAGCTGTAACCGAAGCTGTAGCCCGCTCCGGGCCGGGGCCATGGGCGCCCTGCGCTGCCCGGGTCATGAGGACGGAGGCAGAGGCAGCGGGCCCGACGCTCGAGCCCGGTCAGTGCCTCTCCGAGGGCCCAAGCCTCACCCAGGGAACGAGGGAGGACCCCGCCCTAGCGCGGGGCAGGGTCCAGCTGCGCGACCTTGGGTAGACTCTTGCCTGTTCCTCCCACCCTACTCAGGTCTTTCGGGGTTTCCTGATACTCCCACGGCCGGGACCCGAGTCTGCATGGTGGGATGGTCCAGGTGGCCGGAGTGCCACCTGCCCCATAAGCGAAAAACTTCTGCTGGAGCTTCCTTGGGAGATCCCGTGTCTTAGAGGACTTGGAGGGAACTGAGGCTGAGAATGTCAGGGAACGGGCAGAGAGCTCCGAGCAGCGTAAGGACCCTTTCCCGTGGGCGCCCATACTCTGCGTTTTTGTCTTGTTCCAGTTCTTCACCCTCTGGTTCCTTCTGCCCCGCGGTAGCCTGAGTCCCTTTGGAGTGCAGAGCATTGTAGTACCTTGGGCATTACTTTGCTTGCCGGAGAAGTAGGGGAGGAGGAAGACGTGATTCTCGCTCTGCTTAAGGCACAAGCTTGCTGAGAAAGGGAAAGCGGTAGTAAACTCCTAAGATGAGGCACCCATCCCTGAGAGGGGTGAGGAGCGTATGGTCCCAGGGAGTGTTCTCTTTTGTGTTTGTAGTGTGGAGGAGAGTCTGATGCTATACTGGGTCTACGTCCCTATTCTTCCAGTGGTCTGTTTCTGTGATCTTAGACAAGATACTTACTTTTCCTGATCCTCAGTGGAGTAAGGGCTCACATTTATAGGGAGCTTTCTGTAAGGCTGGTGCTGTGCAAAGTTGTTTACATGCAGCGCCTCAGTGCTCATAATGTTCCTGTGAAGGATGCTACTATCCCTGCCATTTTCACTTTTGTGGATGAGCATGCTGAGGCTGAGAGAGGTTAAATATCCAAGGTCAGTGGACCTTTGTTCTCTAGAGATGGCCCCCAGGTGAAGCCAGACCAGTGCCTTTCAAGCACACTGTAGCTTTCAGGTGGGGCAGTTCCTTTTCTCTAGGCATCAACATCTGGCAGTGGCTTCGGCTCAGAAGGCTAAAGCTGTTCTCGGGACAAATGCCAAGGCCTCGCCTACTTTTATCACTCCCCACAGGAGTGTATCTAGATCCCACCTGCTTGAGCCAAGACTGGGGATGGCCATCTGTGGATGTTTAGCCCTGTAGGGCCTCAGGATCAAGGTGTTCTAGGGCACAGGGCAAGGAAGAGGAGGGGCAGCCATGTCATTAAGGACCCTAGAGGGGCCTGTTTTATAGCTGGCATATGCAATCCTGTCTCCTCTATTTCCCACTGAAAAATTCTCAGTCTGCCCATGGGGAAAGAAGACACCACCTCCAGGACTCTCCTGAGAGGGAGACAGATCAGGGCATTGGGTGTTCAGAGGGGGAAACAGCATCCTAGACTAAGGGATATTTGAGAGCAAAGCCCGGGGAGTAAACAGCCTGAGTAGAGACAAACAGAAAGGCGGTGTGTGTGTGTGGCTGTGGTGAAGGGTTCTTGACCAGGGTTGGGGTGCTGCAATGATAGCACCCCCTGCATAGAGATCTTCCATTGCTCACCCCATTGTAGGCAATTACGTTAAAATACAAGTCTCTCATCATACTGGTTTTGTAAAAGAAAAAAATAGAATATGATTTCCTAGAGGTTAGGGCTTGGGTATTTAGTTGCCCTTGTGTCCCCGGAGCTTAGTACACCGTAAGTGCTTAATAAGTTCATTTCTTCCAACATTTATACTGAGTTACTCCTAAACATCAGACACTAGGCACTGAGTAATTTATAAATCACCCAGTCCTGCTGGGTGATTTATAAACAATAGAAATTTTTTTTTTTTTT